GGCCTGGCCTACCTGCATGAGGACATCCCAGGCCTCAAGGATGGACACAAACCTGCCATTGCCCACCGGTGTGTCCATGATCTGCCTCCCTCTTCATCTGTGGTCGGCCCCTTTTGCCTCCCCCTCCCTGGGCAGCGCGACCGTCACTGACAGTGAACAGTGCTAAGCTTTGGCCTGCTCTCGCAGTAGTGGAGATATTAAATAAATAGCTTGCTGTCATAGAATCTGACCCCAAGCGTCTCCTCACAAAGGTGTGGAATAAGCGGAGCTACGTTGAGTCATGTTAGCACTAAACAGTATTCAGCTAATCGCTAAATACAGGAAGTGGAGTGAGCTGTTTATCTACTTTATAATGCCTAACCCCTCCCTCTTTCTGGTGCATTTGTCGCTCCTGGCAACAGGGACATCAAAAGTAAGAACGTGCTGCTGAAGTCCAACCTGACAGTCTGCATCGCCGACTTTGGGCTAGCGCTCAGGTTTGAGGCGGGGAAGTCTGTGAGCGACACCCACGGACAGGTGAGTGTCTCATGTAATGGCAGAGGGTGGCCAGAAGGGGGACGACTTACAGCACGAGCCAGCTGTTCACAACAAAACAGTGAGAATGTCAGGATGGGAGTGTGACTCTCACTCTGTGAAAGTGTCTTACCTCTAAATTATGAGTCAGGGCTTTGAGAACCACCCCTTTCAGACCTGAAGATCAAAGGTGAAAGGGTTCTGAGCATCTCTCTGACCTCTCGTTCTAGGTCGGGACCCGCCGCTACATGGCTCCCGAGGTCCTAGAAGGAGCCATCAACTTCCAACGCGATGCCTTCCTGCGGATAGACATGTACGCTGTGGGCCTGGTGCTGTGGGAGCTGGCGTCTCGCTGCACTGCAGCTGACGGTGAGGGGGCGCTGTCACGCAGATGCTGGAATAGCATGGGAGCACCGACCACGTATAGGCTGTGGCCGGGGCTGTAAAATCACATGGTTACAGGTCAGGAGAGTGTGGTCTAGCCATCTGTGCTGCCTGCTGATCCCGGGTTTGCCCCGCAGGTCCGGTGGATGAGTACATGCTCCCCTTTGAAGAAGAGGTGGGACAGCACCCGTCCCTGGAGGACATGCAGGAGGTGGTGGTTCACAAGAAGCAGAGGCCCACACTGAGAGAGTGCTGGCAGAAGCACGGGGTGAGTGGGGATAGGCTGGAGAAGCAAAGTGGCCTGTATGGCTGCAGAGGCGTGTCTGGGGGTCCAGCAGACGCGTCAGCCTGCTGTCACTCCCCCGAGGCCTTTCGCTACCAGCAATACATAGGAATACCCATAATGCTCTTAAAAATAAATAAATAAATGAGCATCGATTGCAAGAGGCTCTGTCGGCGATACTGTGTTTGTGGCCTGTGTTCCGTCTAGACGTTATTGACCTGGATATGTCTCGGATCTCCACAGCATGCCAGTCTGGCCCGGTGTGGAATATCACATCAGACGTCTGAATTACGGCACAGCGCGGTCGTCTTTATTCCATTACTAAAGGCGGGGGCCCATACAGCCGCATTACCACGCTTTCAGATCACAGAGGCGGGTGGGCAGCGGTGACGGGGTGGAGTGGGAGGGGGGGGGCAGCGAAAGATGACTGTAAACCGGGTTGTAGCTTTGTGGACCTCGGTCTCCGGTGTCAGGTGACGGGGCTTCCCAGCGTCATCTGAGCACTTGGGGAGAGCGCAAACCGGCTTGTGAAGCCAGCGTCACCTGCAGCATGTTCAGTGACAGCTGGAGGGATGTGGCCTAATTACCCCGGTCTCCCACTGCTCGCTAATGCTGGGCCAGGTTAATGGGAGCAGACGTGGGGGGGTGGGATGCCGACCAGGGCCCGAGGGGCCCCCACCTCTGACCAGAGCCCCCTGTTGTGTCTCAAAGGGCCTGGTGGCACTCTGCGAGACCATCGAGGAATGCTGGGACCACGAGGCGGAGGCGCGGCTGTCAGCCGGCTGTGTGGAAGAGCGCATCATCCAGATGCAGCGGCTCAACAGCGCCGTGCCGCCTGAGGAGATCGTCACCGTCGTCACCATGGTGACCAACACAGACTTCCCACCCAAGGAGTCCAGCCTATGATGGCCCTTCCCAGCATGGATAAGTGCAGAAGGCCGATGTGACTTGCCTCTGGAAGGCTGCTTCGGACCTCCCTCCTACCCCTTGGCCTCACCTTCCATTCTGACCAGCCAATCGGCAATTGGGGACACAGGAGGGGTGTGGCCACTCCGCTCACATTCAGGAATAACTCAACTGAATTCTGCCTATAATTCCAGCATGTGAGGATTCGAAGCTGGTTTTTGTGGTGGTGATCTGGAGAAAGAAAGAAAATGACACTAAATGTTGAAAGTGTTACTGTAAGGACATCCAACTGGTGTTTTTTTTATGAAGAGGGAAAGCAGACAGAATGACAGAAAACGGACAACTTGTTTCATTTCAGTATAAAAAGGGCAAGTCGTTTATAAAGCTGAATTTGCTGTTTTGTGTTTCTCAGACTCGTAACGCCAGTAAGATACAGCTTCTGAATGTTCATTGTACTGCTGCTGTACATATTATCGACATCTGCAGGAAAAAAAAATGGTAAGCAAGGTCATCTGTTGGAATTAGCTTCGAAACATTATTTTAAAAACAACAAAAAAAAAAACCATTAACCTCCCACAACAAGGTATACCTCAGCTCCACCTTGGATCGATCATTAACACTAAAAACAATCAAAAGCATTCAGATGACATCTGCTCAGTAATCATGATTTTTAAAAAGACACGCTGTGTTTATATCTGTATGCCAACAGGAGAAAATGGCCCTTCAGAGACCTGTGTTTCGACCTCGAGTTTCCTTGGTTTACCGTCCTTCTGCCCTTTTCTCCGAAAGTGAAAGCTTCTACGCGCTCAAATTGCTTTTCTTTATAAATCTCTTTTGGACCCAAGACTCCAGAAGATCTTAATGTAAAAAAAAAAAAAGATAATATTTGAAAGCACTACTTTGCTTAGGTTTGCGGTGTCTAAGTATTTAAAGATATGCATGCCTTTTTAAATTATTTTTCTAGCCCCTCGGTAAGATGTGACTCTGCTATGTGTAGTTTCTCTCTGTCTGTCGTCCTTGCTGCTGTACCTGAAGCTGACATCTTATCCTGCCCTCGTTGACGAGCTCCGTACTCCTCAGGAAAGCCCATCTCACCCGGCGTTCCCTCCGCTCCGAGCTGTGGGGGGGGGGCACCTTCTGTCTCGTCCTGCATCCAGCTGCTACCGCTGCGTGTTTCCCATTCTTCCCCGATGGCGTGCTTCCCGCAGGCCTGCGGGATTCTAGGCGACAAGGTGCCAACTACCGAACGTAAACAGTCCAGCGTCGACAGAGTTGGAGTCCTTACTGCATACTGACGACTGCACTGTAGCCTTGCGGCCACCGGGGGTGCCAGTATCCCAAACTGGCCATCATTCCTCCCTCCCTCCCTCCCAGCATTCTGCTGTGTTGTGTATAAGTCCACAGCGACATTCAGGGATACAATTCTATGCTTCTCTAAGTCAATATGCAATCTGTGCAGGTACAGCCACCATGCAGTCATGCCATAACGACAACCCTCTACACACCTGTAGCATTTTTAAGCGGTTGGACTTGCCATTTGTGTTTGTCTGTGGACTCCTGCAGCCGGGCCTGAGCGAGAAGGGAAGGTGCCAGATGTATTGTATGAGTCCCCAGTGTCGCTGCGAAAAAGACTGCGAAGCCAGCTTGCCACCCACAGCCTGGCCTGCAGTGCCATCGACGGCCAGTGATTCCCCAGGGACCCGTCTCTCCATCCTCAAGCGGGCAGCAGTGGGAAGGTGTGGCAGCTAAATGCAGGGGTTTCTAAACTGGATCCTGACAGCCTGCACCGTGGGCACGTTTTAGGGCTCGTGGGCCGAATGAGGCAACTCATCTGAATGAACTGCTACAGTAATTAAACCAGCTCTGGCCCCAAACCCTGCCCTTAGGCTGTCAGCAGTTTAAAAAGCCATGGGGGAGGGAAATAAAAAGGACCGCAAGCCCCCCTTGAGGACCGGAGTTAAGGACAACAGTGAAGCTGATGTAGCCATGTTCCAGTAGGGCCCAGCTGGCGTCATTTTTGTGGATGCTCTGTTCCCCCTTTAAACTGGAGGCTATAGAGTGGGCACATGCATATTCTTGGGAGTGTTCACGTGTGAATGGACTCTGCTGCTGCAGCCTGGATTCATGTGTCAGTGAAAGGCGGGGTTTTTATTTTTTATTTTTTAAAAGAAAGGTTTCCCCTGAGTCTCAGTATATGCTGGTACCTTGGCAGCAGACGGCTGTGAAAATGCACAGTATGTAAATATGAATGTTGTTTTTAGATTTGTGACTTTAGCATGACGTTCCTTTTTTTTTTTTTCCCCATTTTAACAAAGCAAAAAAAGAAAGAAAAAAAAACCTTTATAAAATGACTTTTCCGAAGTAAGATTTTGTTTATTTTGTATATCAATTTTTTGTATTAATTTATGTCAAAGCCCAAACAGAAATGCCCGTTTCCTTCACGTGGTTCTGAGTTTTGTGAAACAGCTGAGAGGGAAAGACCATGGGACTGCCTGTGTCGGCATGCCGCCGATGTCCGTGACCATGGACGGCGCTGAAAGCCGTGAAAAGGCCTCGGGTGCAGAAAGACCAGCCACGCTTTCTGCCCGTTTCCATTAGAAGTGCATATGAGCCTCCCTTTGTTATACCACAAATCGGACATTTACTTCCTTGGTTGCCGGCTTTCTGTCAGTCTCCGGCGCCAACAGCAGTACCACTGGGAGACACCAACGTGCCAACTTGTCTGTCATGAGTATTTGAGTTGCAGATGACTGGACTGGTTGGAAGTGGATGCTGAGTATTGTACAGACATTGTATGGAACCCTGACCCCCCCAGGAAATAAAGTATAGTGATTGCTCTGTTGTTGTGTCCCCTTTTGGAGCCTTGGAAATGACCCCCCCCTCCCCCCCCCAAACAAACACATCCTTTTCTGGGTAACTTAACTTAGTCATTTATTAATAACCATACTGTAGCACCCAGGTGGAAGTTGCCTTATTAGGACAGTAAAGACATGGTGTCCAACAGAAACCCAGGTAACACTGGGAAACAGTCAGGGGCCAAATCCATGCATAATGCATAGGTCAGCACCAAGTTCAGGAACAGGATCCATCCTGCTATCAATCAGCGCCACTGGGCTGATACCTTAGTTTAGTGAGCATTTGGTGACATGCAAGTGATCAGGTGGGGACACTAAAAGTACTTTTTTTAAAAAAAAGTCCTCCCAAGTTATGTTTCATTTTTATGAACACTTTTTGCAAATGCATGCTAGGAGTCAAATTCAGATCAATGGCACTTCACCCAAAGGCAGAGGTGGCCCACTGTTTGACATCAGTGGGGCATTGTGGGTATTTCTGCAGGGCTTCCATAATCTGGCTGTGGTCCAGCATGAGCTTTACTAACTGGTACTCCTTCTGGATCTTGGCTGATGGCCCATCCATGGGATTGATCAGTTCTAGCTGCTGTAAGTGCTCAAATGCCTGGGGGGGGAATAGACACCATAAGTGAAACGTAATGTCACTCACCCTAAAACTCAGCCAACTGTCACATTTAATTGAGGGGAGCTCAATGACTGAACACCATCTCACAGAAAGAGCATAATTACAGTGAAACAAACAAATTATGTCTGAAGATTTTTTTTCTCCAAAACTGCAATGCCCAAATGAATCCACTAGATGGCAGGAGAGGGCTTTCAATGCTGCTGTCCAGTATTCCTGTTGTCTTGCAGTATTGGTCAGCATAAGAAAAGTTAATTCTGCAGATTACCATTTTATTTATCCATCTATGGTAACTGCTTGTCCTACTCAGGGTTTCAGGGGACCATTTTATTTATGTAATTAAAAGCTATTTTGTGAGTGACTCACCTTTAATACAACAGGCGTCTCAAAATTGTGGATAGAATGAGATTTTCTTTGTATGAATTTCTTGAACTCTGTAGGGTGGATGGAAAAAAATGTATTCATGTAAAAAGCAAGAACTGAGCAGGATGGTCATTATCTTCGAACCCTGGGGCTCAGGTCTGGTTTCTCACCATTATGAACCATCTGGAAGTTGAAGGGTTCGCCATCATACAGCTCACTTAGGTGCTTCATGGCGATGATCAGACAGAGCTCAAGAATGGAAAGACCTGGAAATGGGAGCAGAGAGGTTGGGTTGAGACCATTGCCACCCACAGAGTTTCAACCAACCAATTGAGCATAAAGAGTCACGGTCTCAGAGTACTCAACTAGTTGGTTGAAACAAAATCCCAGTCTGGACTTTTATTCTCTGGACCTGAATTACCCAATTGTGCCCACCCAGGACCAACAAGGGTTGGCCCACTTTACAGCTGGGCAAGAGTAGAAAGTCAAAACAAGACTCAACATCCTGGATTCTCTGAGGTACTTTAGAAATGGACACTGACACTGAAACTTCATGGAGAGAGATCTTCAATGTCCCCAAAGGCCCAGGCCGTCACTGCTCACCATTTGTAAATGTATGAGTGTCACCAGTCAAGACCATCAAGCGGCTATTTTTACCATGCAAGATGTTGGCCTTGGCATCCATGCTGCAGAGTCGGCTAGCCTCCTGGATGTCTCCTGGCTTGATGGTTGGGTTTGTTGGGGTCACACGACTTAAGGCCATCAACTGCAAAACACAGCAGAGTGTCAAGTGACTTTCATGAGATGGCAACCCCTGAGAACACCACTCAAGGAGTGACATAGGATCTGAGTAGGCCTAGTGTGCTAACACCAACGAATGATCATATTCCCGATAGCACTGATCACCCTGCCCAAAACCTCACCAGCAGCATGTGCAGCGATCTGAAGTCTTTGCTGGTGTTGAAATGCTTCCGTAAGACGTCCTTCACTGACCTGTCCTCACACAACATCTGTGGAGACCAAGAGGTAAGAAAAATCCATCAAAATGTGTGATACACTAATATTGCCTCATCTTTGCAGTAACATTCAGTGTAAATGCACCATCTGAGTACTACCTTGATACTGCTGTTCCACTCCTGGGCGAAACGCTCGTCAGGGAAGTCCTGCGGTAGACCCAGATGCTCCTGTGTGGTCTCTATGTATTGGTGGAAATCCATGGGGTTAAGCAGATGGATCTGCCGGTGGGAGAAGCGCGACTTGACCCTCTTCTCCAGCAGCTCTAGAACATCCTGGTAGGCAGAGACAGAGAGCCAGCTGCAGTGAACATGGTACTCTTCCACTATCCCACACCCAGCAGATCCATCACATGTTCAGCTGATTAAAGCCTCTTGGGAAAGCAGGAAAGCCTAGTAACTAGAGCAGTACTATGGAGTTCTACTTAGGGAGCAGCATTTGTATGTCTGCCAGGTCCCACAGGTTTCAGTGCATTTTTTAGCGATATAACCAAAGCTCTTAGAACCAAACATGGCTTCCATTTGTGGTGTACGCAGGCAGCAGAATGGTGTCAGTGTTCCAGAATGTTCCTTCAGAGATATAAAGCAGGCCACTTGTGTCCAAATGCAATTAACTTCCCCCAAATGTTTATCCTAAATAAACAGCAAACAGGCAGTGTCGCTTAATTTGTCATGATGCAAACTCACTCCTTACAATGTGAGAATGAAAGTTCACACCAGAAGGTGTCAGGCTTATCCAGTTAACTGAATAAAGCTGCATTTCTTCTACTGAATCCAAAGCAAAAAAAAACATGAAGGCTTTTTGAACTGAAATGTGTATACTAGCCAGCCAATCAAAACAAAGCCTGGGACCTAACTGCTGTAACCAGAAGATCGAGTGGGAACCAACCAGACGGCAGGTGAGGCCAACCACGGCCACTGGCGTCTGCGCCGACTGAGAAATATCCAAGAGATTGTAAAGCAGTGTCTGGTTCTTGTGGTGGGCAAAGAGGTCAAATTCATCCAGCGTGAAGATCACCGGTCGGCTGGAGCTGCGATTGCCTGGAGGGAGGGAGAGAGAGGGAGGAGTGTGTGTGTGTGTGTGTGTGTTATTAGGGAGGGGGTGTTGAAACTGTAGCACCTGAACCAATGATAACATATTTACCTTTCTTTAAAGCTTCCAGAAGAAAGGTGAGATTCTCAGCAAAACTGCCCTGAAACAGACAAGCTCTGCCATTACATTCATGGGAGGTTTCAAAAGCAATGTGCAGCAATGCAAGGCAGGAAATCACAGTGAGCCACATTCCAGAAGATGCAAAAAAATTAAAATAATAGTCACTTATCCACAATGACCACAGAAAGTTGAGGTGTGTGGGTGTCATTCAAAAGTACTGTGTTGAAATAAGCAAAAATCAAATCATAAGATGCTTACAAACACTTTGTCCCCAACAACATTTTCTAGCTGGAGTTGACGGGTGATTTCTTTCAGAGCGATTTTATCATCAGTCTGCAGCAGACCTGGGATGGGAAGGAGCAGCTGCTTCAGATATATACAGGCTATACCCACCCTGCCACCCCGTCCCATGACACACATTCCGTTTGCACTTGCCATTCAGGTGAACCAGCAGCACATTGCTCTGGACCTCTCTAACTTCAAAAAGCTCCTTGAGGACCGACTTGAGGAGCTGAAAATGGCATCAGTATTATGTCATTACTATATCCAATATATAGTGGCACACAATGAATTGGCGTATGTCTTGTATTTGAACCTAATATCAACATATTAAATATATAACCAAATAGTTTTAAAAATCTGTCAAGAAATAATACCATTTTCCCTGCCAAAAAGATTATCATGAACTGTGCATTTCCTAAGTTAAGGTCCTAAAACTCAAAGTAAGCTGGAGGGTGTGGAGTTCAGAGAAGGCCCACACACTCATACCATCGTCTTCCCAGACCCCCTGGGTCCCACGATGAGCACAGAATTACTCTCCCCATGAATGGCTGTCCTCCTCAGCAGCTCCAACAAGTTTCTGAAACAGCAGCCCCACACACCACTGTGTCAGAGGTATTATCTACCCAATAGTAACATCCTTTAAGTTACTAGTCTAGGTTCTTAACTAGTACACCTCTCACGGTATCCCCCTCCGCTTCCATTGCGATAGCATAGATATAAATATTCCGGGCCCAAAACAGTCATATATGCAAATCCAAGCCGTTATAAAACAATTTTAGTGTATTAATTTTACTCAAGCAATAAAATCGAGGTCAATTCTGCTTCAGCGGAGTAAAGAGAATGGAGATGTACTTGCGCTGCGATTCGATCCCCACCGGAGACGATGGAACCCGCTGGTAGCAGTATCTCTCCCTTAGTATTTTTTGAGCCTGTCCAAACAAAGCCAGCAATATATATGGCAATGCACATCGGTAACACGGAGCAGACTTTACCGACTGAATAAGTATGCGCGGATTTAAATATGTGCAAAAAACACAATATTTTACATTAATATATATACGGACCTGCGAAACGCATTCTCCTGCAGTCCACTGAGTGTCCTTCGACTTCCGCTTACTCATGCCAGCAAGTTAAGCTTCAGAAATAAACACAAATTTAAAAGCAAAATCATAATTTGACGATCTGTGCAACAACAAGCATGGACAGTGCAGCGAATCAGAAGTGCTGTGGAATGTAACGTCATGTCTCCATCACATCTCGTGGCATCCAGCAAACAGAAAGAGACGATAATAAATAAACGTACGTAATCCATATTCGCAGCATGGTTTTACCTGATCTTACATGAAATCTTTACTTTAAAAAGCCAGTGACGCTTTCCATATATTGGCGGCCACAGCGTCACCCACTTCTGCCCGCATGAACTATAAACACACGTCACTTCCTTAACTACTTCTTCGCGTCTCAAAGTAATTTATTGACATTTTGCACGCCGGGAAGGCCTTAGTCCTCCAGACTCGCCCCCCCCCCGACCCCCACCCCGAGTCCCGCGCATGCGCGATGAGAAGCTCCCATCTGTCTATCCCAACAAGCCCAGAGAAGCATCGGCGGCAGCAGCTGATGGGGGAAGCGTTTTATTTTTACTTTTAAAGGGACCGAAACCGAATTTTAACCTGCTCGGAACTGCCGCGTCGCCGCCCTTACTTCCAAAGGAGCTTGAAGGGGACGGGGAAAATGGGGAGATCCGCGGAGAAAGTCAGATATTAAAGGGGAGAAGGATCCAGAAAAGGCTTATTTTTCTGTGTCTACGGCTCCTTCGTAGCGCAGCTTGCTGCTCCCCTCTTCCTCGGCCCTGCTTGGAGGAGGAGGTTTTCACGGCAACGGGGACCTCCGCTTATACAGTACACAGAAATAAAATTAAAATTATAAAAACTTGGCTACGTTCACCCTGCTGGGCCGTGCTTTGCTATGGGGGGCACCGGAGGTAGGTAAACTCGCGTTTAGTTCCTAGTCATTCCGGGAGCCTTTTCTCCTTGTTAGCGTCGGAGGCTAGCTGGCTAGCTGGCAGTATGAACCTCTAGATGTGTTTTATTTATCCGGACCGCGTCGGACTGAGGCGGGGACGGCCGCTGTTAAATGTGTGTTTGTGCGCCTGAGTGCGTGTGGGTGGCCGTGTAATAGCAAGGCAAGGGTCGGGATGCACAGAGCTGCCCCGGCCGCCGTCGCTGGTGGTGAAGACTGACGGGTTGCTGCGTAGACAGTCGACGGTCACACGGTGCACACCGGCACTTTGCTTCACTTTAATGCACTTTTCTGCTAGTTAACACAACGTTTTTCAACATTGGGGTTAATTTAAGGAATTAAATAGTTCAGATAGCATTATTAGTTGCTTGGTAGAGCTGTGATAATGTTCCTGCAAGACCTCTGGCCCACAATTACTTAAATAAATATATAAGAAATGTAATTGTGTGTGTGTGTGTGTGTATTTACATAATGCCGTTTTACGTAGGTTGGCCCCGCTATGGTGTAGACTGCGTTTGGCAGTTTGGATTTCTTGCTGGGAGTCGCAGGGTACCACCAGCTCTGGATTTGATAAATTGAACACCATCTCTGTGACCAGAGAACGACTGTCCATTATACTGCTTCTTTCTGAGGCGATGTGCTATTCCAGGATTTCATTTTCTAGTCATATATATGTTTGTGTGTGTGTTCGTCAGTGCTTTTACTTTGCACATCTTCCATGGTTGCTGCCCCCACCGGCTCAGTTTTACGAGTCTAGTAATTGTTTTTGCTACAGAAACAAATTGAAGCAGTATATTATTCTCAGTTGTTTTCAGTTTTTGGATTAAAGAAAAATACTCTCGTTAAAAGCCATAATATCTTGTGTCCCTTCAGCGCTGAGTTTCTGCCTCGTCATATCCACGGTTGACAAAGCCGGTCTTAACGTGTTCTATGCGGGATGTCTGCTTTGGTTATTTTTGCCTACAACTGTCCATAAGAAGCCTATTAAGATTGAGATGTAGCTCATTTAGTTCTGTGACAGTGGTTAGTTCAGTCTTGTGGTACTAAGATGTTAACAGTAACACCAACAACCAGTGTGGTTGCACAACATTTTCTTTTAAGTGGTTTCACACCTGACGCTAAACTCATTTCTTCTGCATGTGATTCTTCCAGCTTGGTGGGCCTTTATAGTAAACATGTTCTGGTTTCTTAAAGCAGAGCAGACAGTCCACCGGATACTTTGAATGAGAACAGGACGGTCTGGAATTAAAACAATGCCCTTGACTATAGCACTATACCAAACAGGATTCTGAGAGGATTTGTGCCAAAGTTGAGTGTTGAAGTTGTATGTAAAGGTGAGGAACCTTCAGAGGTCTGTCCACCTTCTGGCGGGCTAAGAACATTTGCCCTGGGGTATTTGTTCAGTAGTTAAGCTGTCTGAAGCTAACGTCAGCACTGCATAAGGCTAAGGCTTTGGTCAGGCCTGTACACATGCTGTCCTTGGAAATAGATATGCTGAACAGGTGCTGTGAAGTACTCCCTAACAGAATCTTAGAGGGTGTGGTGCAAATTAGAGAGGAGGTACTTCAGTTTATCTTCCATTTCACACTCATCTCTTAAGTTTTTGCGGAAGTTTGTATTTGAGTATGTGATCTCTTGTCAGCCAGGCTCTTTTTTAGGTCGGGTTGAATCATGAACAAATCTTAAGTCCTAAGGCAGAAATTTCTTTGTGCTAGCATGTTTTTGCATCATTGTGTGTGTGAAATATCTGACTGATTACAGAATAACTTGGGAGCTTGTTTGATTTTGTAATATTGTAGGAAAATTATCACATGGCTTCAAGGACACCCTGTCCCCAGAATAAATTCCCATCCACACTTTGACTTATGTGTGTCCGTTGAGTTTCTGGATGGGTAAAATTTTTCCACGATCGTCTTTTGGTAAGCTATGCTGACTCTTTTCAAAGAAGGCAAGGTTAGGCCAAAACTGAGTTATTGTGGGATCTGATGCCATAGGTCTAGTATGGGCCTCCTGAAGGCCTAGTGCACTTTTGAGGGTACTTAGAGTCTTTAACAACATCCATCTGCAGGAAGAACAGAACTAACAGCCTGACCGTGAAGGTGGAAGAACTTTTTTTATGGATTGATGGCTTACCCTCTCAGAAACAGGCTGTCGTAAGGGCTCAGAAATGGAGCCATCCCAGGACGCTGTTCTTCCATTGTACTAGAACCTTTTTTTAAATTTTCCTAAATGCCCTTATATTTGCTGTATCAGTCTCCGCTGCCTTTGTTCTCTTTCAGGCATATACTGCTGCACTTTTATAAAACATCATGCCGATTTGAAGTATGCTGACTTTGTTTCCTAGTACTCAGCAGAAGGCACTGGCCACCGTCACGTGACACAGTATGCACTCCAAGTGCTTCAAAGCTGCATAGGACCTCCCTGCACACCTGTACCATCTGGTGTGTCTCCTCTCGATCGTCGAATCTCCATCTCATTCAGGGGGTAGCACGCGATGACTGAGCCACTTTTGGTGCTGTCTGGGATCAATTGGCAAAGAGTTGCAACTGAGCAGTCCTGACCAGGCTGATCAGCAGAGGTTGTTGTACCATAGGACAAAGCAGTGCCCACAATGGGACATGATATTGTCAGTTGCATTGCACCCATGAAGATGTGTGTCTGACAGAACCAGGTCTGCAACCATGTTCTTTGGGCACAGCAAACATAAAGAATGAAATTGATATGAAAATATGCCTTGCTTGGTATAGAAATTAATGGAAATTCAATCTGTTTAAAATGTAATTTAAGGCCTATTAAAAAGTTGTATAATTGCAGAATTACAGTCTAGATAAACATGGCTTTCTTAAGCAAACTGTCTTGCCTAATGAACAAATGTTATTGGTAAGTGCACATGTCTCTGCCACGTACGAGGCTTAACATCCTTAATTAATGGAGAAAATATTTCACATTCTTTGAAATTTGGGAGGAATGGTCAGCAAAGTGAAATGTTTTATAATCAGTGATTAGTTATATCCTTTCTAAAAAAAACAACCCCTTGAATTGTTGGAGCAGTACAATTTCATTTTATATCTGTTCCAATAGCTCTAGGGCTGAATTCACTAAGATAAAGCTTTTTATTGGAGATAGCGGAATTCTCTATATATTGGCAGTGTGATTTGGTATTCCAGAAACAAATTTGTATATGCATGAGTCTTCCCCCCTGCATGTATGGCATGAGCCATGCTCTGATACCCTGCTGTGCTTCTGTTCACTTGCTGTCTTGTTTCCCTGCACGGTTTTACTGCCGTTGGAGCAATTTAAGGACAGGCTGGGAGGGGAAAAAGTGAATGTCTGTGAATTCTTTTGCTCATTTTACGATTGGCTGTCCTCCATTCAACCCTATACCAGGAAAAACACGAGTGAAATGTTAGAGTTCAAAGATTGCCACCCAGGTTGGGGATCATCATCTGCTGATGTCTGCTGCTTGTGCAGTGTTGAAATCTTTTTATGTCCCCCCCCCCCCCCGCTTCATACCATAGAAATGTGTTGATCTGCTTTTTTACACTCTGTTTTCATTGTGCTGGAGAGCTGTTCAAAACCCAATCATACTGAGTGGGACTGCCAACTGGAGAATGACCCAGCTTCCCCACCCCAGTCAGGCTCTCTACTCAAGACTGAAATCACTGATCGGGTCCAGCAAAGCTTCAACTGGTCATTCTTCCACATGCTCTTCAGAATGGTAGTCACCTCCACTTTTACTTGTTCTTCAAGTCTTATATGTTTTTTCATAGTAGCCTTTATGAGCAGAAGACGAACTGGATTCCTTTGGAAAGAAATACTCTTGTTTAACAAGTCGGCCCAGCCGTACGTCTCAAAGTTTAACTGCTCCTCCATAAAGCCAACAAAAACGCTCTTAGGCTTTGCTCTGTTAATGTCATTCTCTGGGCCGCAGATTCCAAGTCGTCTTACTGTGGCCCTTTTAAGGGTTCTTGATTGCCAGGTACTGCTGCTCTTCTAGGTGTGTAACTGTGATCACACCAAGACAGGGAAGTTGGCTAGTCCATCATCTGGTGCATTTGTACAGGGTCTTGGAGTGTCTGAGTATTCCATCTTTGTTCATGTTCTGGCTTTCAGGTGTCCTATTCCCACGTGGCATCCCCCAAACAGCCCTGAAGTGTGGCCTGGTGCTATGATCTGCACCGGCAGCAGGCTGGCTTGTGGTGCAGTGTCACATGACCTCACCAACCCGTCCGGTTCCCTTCAACTCACCCTGCTTGCTGCAGCATTTGTTCAGTCTGATACCAGGTTGCATCCGGTTTAACTGGTTAACTTGCATCCTATTCGAATATTTAAACAAGAGGCAGAAGACAACCTTTGGCTGGAATTCATCAACGAATGAAGTGTGTGTGTGTCTGTGTGTGTGTCTGTGTGTGTGTGTGTGTGTGTCCCCGTGTCTGTGTGTGTGTGTCCGTGTCCTTTCACTGAAGATTAATATTTGCTGGCGGACAAATGGGGCATAGTTGCCTACTGATGTTTTAGCTATAACTATTCAGACTATTGTTATATGCTGTCTTAGTTGGATAACGTCTCCTGCTAATGTGCAGGATGCCTTAGCTAGTTAACCACTCCTATTAATTTTACAGGCTGTCTTATTTAGCTAACTAGTCTTGCCTATATTACAGGCTGTCTTAGCTGTCTAACTACTCCTGCTAATATTAAATGCTGTTTCAGCCAGTTAGCCTGTAACATTGACAGGAGTACTTAGCTAGTAACCAGTCCAGCTAATGTTACATGCACTGCCATTAATGGCTGAGCCCATGAAGCACAAATGTTTCATTTTGCCCCCCTTGCAGTGATTTCAGTAGCATTTTTAAGTGTTCTTACATCTTGACGTTCTCCCTGTGTCCATGAAAACATACCTCATGTCTCACCAGTGATGGCTGAATATAATTTCATTTTGTAGCGATATAAAGTGTTTGCAGC